AACATCAAAATCTCTTGTTTCTTTCTCTTTTCATTGCTTTTGATCCCCTTTTCTTGTTTTTAATTCTAATGCCGGAATCACCAAATAATGAGGGTGATTCCATTTAAAATAAAATATCAAGGAAAATTTATAAATAAAAGAATATCCGTTTTTCTCTTCTCTTCTTTTGCTTTTAATTCTTTTTTTTCCTATTTTTTATTCTAATATTAAAATTAATGAGATGTGAGGCTCCATTCTTGCGTCAGTTGGACAGCGTAAAAAGGCCTTGTCAAAGCCTATTCTCAAATTACCGTCCCAAAGCCAGTCGTTTCGGGAAAAGGCTTGGAGCGGGCGAAAATGAGATAGACAATAAGGTAGCCGTCAGGGCAGCAAAGCGGTAGTTCTTCTCTACAATTTCGAGGCCTAGTCTCAATGGTCGACACACCCAAAACTAGGGGTGCCATGAGTTCCTTTAATCTCGGTCTCCTAGTCAGTCTAGTGAACCGTCAAAACACAGACTTATCCCTGAGCCTAAGTCCCAAAACTGCCGTTTTCAGGCGGCGGACTACTTGCGGCCGCCTGACAACGGCCGCCTGAGGGGCCGTTGGACGCTATTCGGACAGTTCCTGGGAACATGCGAGGCGTATGGGCTGGACCGTTGCTGAGACGATTGAGAGATTGAGGGGAGCAGGTAGGTTCGAAGAGCCCATTGCCAGGATTCATAGGGAGACGACGACGAGGCAGGAGGTAGAGATGAGGATGGAAGAGTTGCGACCCTCGCCTGTGGGACTTGATGGCAGGCCAATCCGCTTGGAGATTGGAAATGCGTCGGACTTTATCCCCGCATTTGAGTGGTTCATGCAAGAGCAGGGCATACAGAGAGATGATTGGATGCAGACGCTACCACTCTGGACCAGGAAGGCGGAAAGGCCACTGGCTATGCAGATCAGGGACATGACACGAGATTGGGAGAGCTGCAAGGCACATTTGAGAGAGGCCTTTCGACGACCAGAGCTCCCTTAGCCCAGAGTCGAGAGGCGGCAGAGGAGTCAGAGACCGAGGGACCCTGAGCCCAGGGAGGTGAGACCATCTTGAGGAGGACGGAAGGCCCTAGCTAGGAGAGAGCAGGAGCCAGAGGATGAGGAGCGAGGGCCATACCCTGAGTGTGGGTTGGGGCCAGTGGAGTTCCATCGTTTTACTGAGGGTGGATTGAGGAGGTCGCCAGCACACACACAGGGGGAGCCACCAGCGTCAGAGGGGCCCTTGAGGGAATTGGAGACGCATTTAGATATTTCTCGGTGGAGGGCATCGCTTCAGGGTGAGGGGCATGGAGAGCAGGCAGAGGAGGTATCACCAGAGGAGGTGCCACGAGAGGAGGTACCACAGGAAGAGGTCCGAGGTACTCAGCGAGAGAGAGGGTTGGGCGATGAGGGGAGACGTGCGTGGAAGGAAGTGATAGAGGTTGGAGAGGACACGCCCCCACAGACGCCAGCAGTGGGTTTGAGACTCGGGGATGCACCAGGGAGCACCCGGCAGGCAGGGGAGGGGTTGCAGAGAGAGGAGACCCCTTTACCTTCGTCAGAAAAGGCTCCTTCGCCAGAAGGGAGGGCAGAAAGGAGGAGAGAGAGGACAACTGTAAGGAGAGAAGCTTTGATCCTGATTGATAGGCACCTAGCAGCTCATTCCCTGGAGCACCCAGACCTGGAGGAGCCAGCACCTGCAGAGCCACGCCAGGAGTTATGCCAGCCCGAGAAGGAGATGGAAGCAGAAATCCGAAAGAGGGTCGACCTCCGCACGAGGGAAAGGGTGCCAGCTGGAAAGACGGCTGAAGAAAAGAGGGCGAGACGAACCAGGCGGATAGATATGATATGGCAGGAGAGACTGAGGTTGGAGGCAGCGGGGGAGCTCCAGGAGCAGCAGCAGGAGAGGCAGAGATCGGAGGCAGCAGGAGCACTCCCGGGTCAGCCACCCGGCGCGCCAGCCAAGGCCCCGGAGATTTCTGAGATGTGGAGAGACTTCTGGGAGCAGAAAGGGGAGGAACTTCCATCGCCAGTCAGAACCGGGTTTGGGGTGGCCAGGAAGGCGGAAGAAAGGTTAGATCGTAAAATCAAGTTCCTGGCCAAGACCACTTTTGACCGGCATTTGTTATTGGAGGGCGATCTGGCGGGGAAGAAAATGAAGGAAGTCAGCCATGGAGTACGTCTGGAGGCTATGGAGATGGAAATTCAGGAACTTAGGACTTTGGTGGCCAGCGAGGCAGCTATCATTGAGAGCCTGAGGCAGCAAACCCAGGGAAAGGTGGGCAGACCAGAGAGCAGCCGGCAGGGAGAGCAGAGGCAGCCATGACAGGGATTGCCAGGACAACCATCTGCGACAGAGCCTTGCCAAGAGCCACCTATGGGGAGGGTAGCAGCGGCGGGCCAAGTCGTACCTTTGGCAGTAGAGGAGGGGCTGCCACCATCTAGCAGTGAGCCGGCTCAGGGCTCAGTAGAGGAATCCATGGGCGTCCTCCTTGAGGTGGTGCATACTATGCAGGAGGAGGTGAGTTTGTTTTCACCTGAGCAGAGGATAGAGGAGCCTCTTGAGAGAGAGATGGGGATTGAGGAGGAGGGTGCCATCGAGGGTAGACTCCAGAGGATAGGCACACCTGAGTATGGACCAAAGGAGATTGAGGAGTAGCCCACGGCAGTGCCACGGGCGACACTCGAGAGGAGGCCTCAGAGGTTGGACACGCCCGAGTACGTCCCAGCGACAGAGGATTTGAGAGGCAGACTAGGATCTTGGGCTACTGGATCTGGGTCTGGTGGACCAGTTCCGGGGACAGAGCAGCAGGAAGTCGTTAGTACCGCAGCTCCTCAAGCAGAGCAGCAGGGGGTTGTCAGTACCTTGGCAGGATCTTCTTCATCACCACCTCCTCAGCCCAGGAAGAAGAAGTGCAAGAGGAAGGTTGATCAACTATGTTTCTACTGCAAGAGGAACGCGCATCATGCTTTGGACTTTCTCGAGTTTCTTGAGGATAAGGCAGCAGGGAAGATCTCAGAGGTAGGGGGTAAAATGTACGATAGACAGGGTAGGATAGTAGAGAAGTCCGCAGATGGACTTAGGGTTCAGTTATATAGGCAAAACCAGGAGGAGTTGAGGAGGTAGGGCCGACTTTGTCTATATAAGCGAGCGAGCATTTTGTGAGGCATCAACTTAGGTTCTGTGTGATACTCTCTTAGACTTAGAAGACATTTTGATGATTACTGTTAATCTAGATCTGAACTCTAGTGTTTCTACTAAGTTGGGGTTTTGAGGGTCAGGGTGGTTTAGATGAGGCATGTACATATTTAGGTGGCCTACGCCCTGGCCTTTGAGAGACAGATCTGACGTGTATCCTAGGGGTAGTAGTCAGTGTGGGTTTGGTGTGGCTTGAGTTGAGCAAGCTATGATTTGGAGACACTTTCTGTGTGAGACATTGTACTCCCTGAGTGTATATTATGATGAGGTTTCTTTCAGGGACCATTCTTATATGTGACGATCACTTGTCTCTCTCACATGTGTGGTTGTACTCTGATGTATGATGAGTTTGTGTGGACAATGTGTGAAAAACCTTTTATGTATCTTGGGTATTGTGAACATGATTGTAAGTAAAACTGTCTACTCCTCGGTATACTTGTGCGACCTGCCTACGGCAGCTGATAAGGCAGAGTATAAGAGGAGGAAGCGCAGTCCGTCTGTGAAAGTTATCTAAGTTGTGATGAGGACCCATAAGATGGTCTCTAAGTGATGTTCTGTTTTATGATGGGACCCTATTAGATTTTGGAAAAGGGGGGGGATGTTTTATGATGTTTTGTGATGTGACGAACCCCCTCGTGACTTTGAGAGGGGGGGTGTTTGGCTTATGATGAGACCCTCGTGATTCCTGGAAGAAGAAATGTATTGTTTTATGGCGAGACGCCTCGCAATTTTTGGAAGAGGGGGTGTTTTGTTTATGAAGAGAGCCCCTTTTGGATTGTTGGAAAAGGGGAGTGGTTTTTGGTTGGAAGACTCATCCTCAGAAGTGAGTAAATTGATTTATGGGATGACGAATTGTTTGATGGGTGATAAAGTCTGACGGAAAGGGCCATTTTTTGTTTGAAATGTTTGAGAAAGTCGCAATGAGTACAGGGCGAGAGATGTCTCAGGGTAGGTGGCTGCTGACTCTGATCAAGTCAGGGGTCACGGCCTGATGGATTTATCGGTGATTTTGCTTGTAAGCATGCGAAGGATGCCATGCCTATTGAAGGAGGGCTGGTAAATGCTTTCGGACCCCTGCGTATCGCGCAGTGGGCCTGTGATTTTTTTTTGCGACGCCCCGTCTAACCACCAGTGCTAGTTCTGGGACATATTGAAGAAAGGTCAAGCTAACGGAAAAGAAGTTAGTACCTCTAGGGCGTAACCCAATTGGATGGCTGCTAGCCGGCGCAACCTGGCTGAGGGACCGCGGGGTAAGAGTTTACGGGGAATTGCCCACCCTAGTGAAATTACTCTGTGGGATAGTGATGATTGATAATTTTTGGGGGAATCCTGATTGAATGCTTATCAGGAGGAAACCTATCGTTGTGTAACCAACGAGGGGTACTGCCGTTAAATAACAATGCGGTGGGCCGTAGTCCTGGCCCAATCAGCCAGGCTATGGTGGGCCAAGATGGAGACCTAGCCTTTCTGTACTGGACTGCAGAAAGAGCTGAGCGGATACTAAGTATTTGTATATGCTTATGAAGATTTGATTGCGAGGGATTGTTTTTGAGAAAGAAGGCGATAGTGCCTTCAAAGGTCTCGGTTAAGGCCCGCGTCCCTAGTTTTAGCGTGGACTAGGGACACCCAACGAAAAGCCGAAGGTTGTCTAGGACCAGGGAGAGGACGATTGGAAAAGTCTTTAGAACTTATGCTGTCAGTGTCCTAATATCTGGACGGTAAGAGGCCCGGGTTAGAAACCTGGCAGCATATAGTTGTGGAGGCATGGGTTGATGGAGGCCTCTACCCTGTGTTGGTCTGCTAATCGGATTGGCTCCTCTTTCGTCAACATTTGGAGTGCGGATAAATTTATAGCTTTCTGATTTGGCGAAGCGACGGGAACGTCGCTTAATATGGTCTGGTAAGCAGTCGGCGCGAATACCCTTACAAGGGTATCCGCCCTGTTTTTTTTGTAAGTAACAGAAACCAGTTTTGGTTTAAGGTTGAAGTATACCGCGCTAAGCGCGGTTGCGTCTGTAATTGCGTTGACTGGGTGGTTGACCGCAATAGCGAGTGTGTGAGCGCGCAGGTTTAAGGCGCCCGTGATTCTTTTCTGTTGTTCATCGTAAGAGTCGGCTCGGACCTCGGTCGTTTTGCTTAGATGATATTATTTATTATTTATTTTCGATTAAGCAGGAACTAAGGATATTTTTTGTTGATTAGTACTTTTGACCGAGTCGAACGCGCTTGAGGAGAACGACCCCGACGACGGCATCGGCAACGACGGCGCGACTTTCGTGCGGTGAGCGGGGTGTCGTAGGATGGCGCGCGGGGCAATTATGGCACGGTATAAGCGAACCTGCGTGGGCACTGAGAGCCGCGCAGCCGTTTTATTGGCCCAAAGCGCCGCGCCGCACCGTCTTATATGGCACCCGACGTGTTTTGGTCTCAGGCTTGAGCTTAGCCCTATAGATTACGGCATCAGACTATTGCAACGGAGGTTTGAGGATGGAGGTCAGCGGGCGTCGGCGCAGCAACTGTAGCGGAACGTCGTGGAAGGAACCGATGGGGTCGAGGGCGGCCAGGGCTATCCCCCTCGGTTTTTGTTTGTAGGCTTGGCGGCGGGCCCGGTCAGCGGGGGCTGGCGAGGCGCTAGCAGCCCGTTGTTCCCCGACCCTGTTGCTATTTTATCTTATTTCCCCTATCTGTTTTGTTTGTCATATCCCGAGGGCGCGAGACTGCGGTAGCAGCGCGCGGGGGTGTATTGTATTCGCAGGGATGCCCGAAGAGCAATTACAAACTGTTTTTGCGGCTGTGTCGGGGCCGCGCCCCGTTTTGCCTTGGGCCGCGGGGCCGTGGTTACACCCGGGGCCTAAGGGCCAAGCTCAGTGGGTACGCCCATGAACTGTTGAGATACAGGGCCGTGTTCGAACCCAGATGACGAGAACCTGCTGCACGTGCACCGTCCGCCCACCCGCCGCCCGCTGCGAAGAGGTTTGAGTGTGAGCACGCTCGTTGGGACCCGGAGGATGGTGAACTGTGCCTTGAGACAATGGACAGGGGACGCTAGTGGGAGGCGACTACAGCGCTGGCTGGGCGGCGCTGTCCCGCGGCTGTTCCCATGGGACCCTTCTCCGCTACGGCCTTCGAGGTTCTCATTTGAATATTTGCTACTATCACCAAGATCCGCTCGAGGACCCGCACCACGCACCACCTTCTACCCGCATTACGGGCTTTGTAGCGGGCTCGTGTCCTCCCAACTGCAGCAGCGTCCGAGCGCTATTTGTCGGGCCGGTGGATTCAGCAGGTGAGTTGTTATACATTCCTTAGCGAATTTGAATCCCAGAACCACCGGCCCTGCTATCTGAATCGGCCAGCTTTCGCTGAGGTATCTGGGCTAGCGCGCAGCAGGGCATTGGGCCGGGGCATTTTGGTGAAAGGACGCGGTCCCGTATCGAACCGACTAGTAGTGATTGCCAGAGGGGCAGGGCACATTGGACTGCCCTTGGCGTTGTCGGGCCGCTATCTGCCGGACACTGCGTTAGTAGCAGAAGGAGACGGGGCTTGAAGGCGGCAGAGGCAAAAGTGAAGGAGAGGGATTAGAGGAGGTAAGCGAAGAAGGAATGAAGTAGGGAGGATGAGGCTGGCAAGTGATAAAAGGGATGAAATGAACCCGGCGCGGATTCGCGCCGAGTGCGTTTAAAAGTTGAAGAAGATGACGGGCGCGCAGGAGATGGTGGACGTGAGTGTAGAGGGCGACGAGATAGCTACCTCGCTCGTTTCCTGATGGAAACAAGTGGACGAAGGGTCAATCCCGATATTTTGGGCCAGGGCGAACACAGCGGAGAGGTTAGCTTGGCCAGTGGGTTAGTGGATCGGGAGGTAGAAAGGAAGGAGATAGTGGAGATGGTGGGTTATGGACTTGGGCGCAGTCCGAAAAGTGGAACACGCTCAATTCTCTACGGAATCGAGCGAGGAACGAACTAAAATTGTGGTTTATTGACTGTGTGAATCCGAGTCTGAGCTTAGTTTTAGTGATAAGGTAGAAGAAAGAGAGGTAAGTGAGAAAAACGGTGCGCGGAGTGGTCGGGAAGAAGGGGGGAAAAAATGAATGAACCCGAGCGAGAATTTGGGGCGGGTACATTCGACAGTGAGAATGGCGAAGGAGGGAGTCGGGCGCAGTAGAAAAGCTG